GCTACTAGGATTCACGAGAAAGAACAAAAACAAGTTTGTTGTTAAACTTTTTGCCACCACTTTAGGTAAAAACAATGTTTGAATTTGCCATCGAGTAGCTTAAAATTTCAAGTTTCTCTAGCGGAATTTTAAACTACCCTGAACTTTAATTTCCTCTTTGACGTATATCGGAAAAAATAACACTATATATACAGACGTGAACCATGACGAACAAATGGCGGAAAGAGAAAAGCAAATACAGTGCAGTGAGAGACAACAAAGACACATGCATATCTAGAACTATGAATGAGACAGAGGGAGAGAAAAAGGACAAGCCAGATAGCAATTTTATGAAGCTGCGTGAAAGTGCAGCTCATAACAATCGTAGTACCGATTTTCTTCAGTTTTGCTTCTGAGCCGAAACATTAATTTTTCAATCATCTTTGCTGTTCATTTTGGTACTCAAGCCAAGATCTATTCATAAGGTGGGGAGGAGGGCCTTAATATGTACTTTTGTAGAATGACTTTCGCTATATCTTTTGAGATATTACACGGTTCTGTTTGGTCGGTGGTTGCGAAGAAAACCTCGAAAAACTATGCAGATAGCAGAACAATTCTGTTTTCTGAGCGCTGAGTGGTCCTGCTCGATGTTAACCTCATCACTTTTGAAGGCAGAAGATGAAGAGCTAAAACTTTGTATTCAAGGGTTTCCACTCATGGGCTTCATTTTCAATAAGTAAACTAGTATATAAAAAATCCGATGTCTAATGGGCTCATGAACCGTCTCTCAAGAATAAAATACCGTTTCAAAATTTTGTTTTTCGATTTCTGAAGTCGTTTCGAAACAGATCGAAGAAAAACTTCTTATCATCAACCTTTCGATCATGCTCTAGAAATTTTGCTTCACGATGCTTCGCTTTCCAAACATTTTTGTAGTTTATTTTTTAAATACTTTTTTTACAAATTCGATAATTTCATAAAAATAGATTTAAAATTCGTAAAAAAATTCGGATTATATTCGTAATTTGACAATTTCCATAACCTATCAGGGAAACAGCTGGGATTGAAACACCTATAGTTAGCGTAGAATGTGTACACAACCACCTCGCCAGTCGAATCCGACGAGTAATTTCCATGGAAAAGGACACACTCGCAAATCGACAGGCAGATGAGTAAGCGAGTTGGTTCGATGGTGTTCGAGCTCAATCTGTTTTTTGCCACAATTCAATGTCAAGGTCATTTCGTCGTCTTTTTCAATGAATTCGGCTTTTCCAACCGATTGTTGCTTACCGTTGATAACAGTATTTTCGAAGTCCCACCAGCCATAAACTGATCGTGATCTGGAGGCGTCTGCGACCATCTCTTGCGACGAGGGAATAATGCCCGAAAAAAACCAATGACCCCAGTCTCCTTCGAGTCGAAAGCGAATGTGATGTGTTCCAGACGAGTACAGATTGACACCACTAGTGCTTCCGTTACTCCCAATGTAATCCACATGCCAAGCCATGAGTCCGTCTTGTGACAGTGCGACTGCTCCGACTGCTTTGTCAAACCTTTCAGAAAGAAAAGCGTGTGGCTGTTGTTGGCTACAATTCTCTCTCACTTTGATTAAGTGAATAGATGCTCCATTGCTCTCTTCCACAATCTCAACATTCGACGGCTTTTCCATTATCTCTCGAAGTCCTTTCAATTGTTGAATCCATCTATTAATGTCATTTTCTGTATAATCGTCCGATTTTCGATTTGATTGGAGTTCATCGGCTAGCTTGCCTAATAAAGCCTTTCGTTCGTTCTTCGTGCGACTAATCAATTCTCGCAGATCTGTTCGAGCTGCTTCTGCGGCTACTTGAACTCTCGTGATCGATTCTTGCTCCCACGCATCAATACGAGATAGAATAAGATGCGCATCATTTTCTCCATTTAAATTTTGAAGAAGATCATGTTCTTGGCCGACGTTATCAATTTGTCTGGCGAGCTCATGCCGGTGTTCGTTAATGTGCTTATCACAGGATAACTGTTGGCATCCATCACATGTGGATACGACAATCTCTCCGGCTTTACCGCATTGGGCACAACGTTTCTTCTCAGCAGCTGATGCCATGTTTCACTCTGACAACAGAATCAGGCAACTGTTCTGAGCAATACCACATGGTGAAATTATGTACTTACTTGGCTTCCACCGACTTGCACAAGTAATCCACCTCTTCCAATCGAAGGCAACAAAAATATTGGCAACGCAGACTACTGTCAAAAAAATATGTGCATTTTTCGTATTACAGCGTGCAGAAAGGAGAAAAGAGAACACAGGGCAGAAGAATAGAGCACATGTTTTGTCGCTGACAGAACGACACGCGCTTTTCAAAATCAGCGTAGCGTTAATTACCATTTTATATGGGGATAAGCGCAACTTTGGCTATATTCAGCTCTAACAGTCATTGTAAGCAAGTTACGACCGAACTAGAGCAAACCCGCGCAACCCATTCCACCGATTTTGCTCATTTTATTCTGTCGGTTTTATTCTACAAAAGTATGTCGAACCAGAAAGCTATATATCAGGTTTTGTAGAGCTTCTCGCGGCGGATCTAAATCTGTATTGGGATTGGGTTAATACCTTCTGGTTACCAACATATGGGTGTTACCATGTTCTAGATTTATGATCGGTATTGATGTAAGAGGAGAAATCGAGATTCGGTAATGTAATATAATGAGATATTGTCTTACCCATATTCTTGTAGCGCAACGAAAACTGTACAAACTAGTTCGATAATGGGTAATAGAGCCTAATTCTTCCAGAAAAAATGGGTCATTTATGAAAAAAATCGATCATACATATAGTGCATGTGCGCAGTAAAATAGCTGTAAAATCCAAATGATATGCAGAAACAAATTGTAATTTTGTCAAAAACTGTATTAGTAAGAGTTCTATCTGCCACATTCATAGAGGTCTGAAATCTATCTATGTCTGTGCAAAACAAATCTTTACTGAAAAAAAGTATACCAGAATAGGGTATATTTTGGGTCTTAAACTTGGTTTTATCTGGTCTAATTTACTTATCAATCAGTTTTAACACCATATTCGTAATCTCCGAACAAAATTGAGTCGGACGGAATATTATACATATGGTCAACATACAAACTGAAGTAGTCAAAGTATCTAGACAGGTGGGGCCAGTTATTAAAGATGCAAAAGAAGCGTTTGAGTGTTATATATGCAGTGCAGTGTATCATAATCAGAAGAACTTCTTTCTTTTTGATTTTCCAGTAAAAGCTGGTATCAATCTGAATACTATACTATCTGAATATGAATAGCCCGAAGATTTTTTAATCAGATGAGGTGCATATCGTCATTTTATGAGAAAACTTGATAATAGGGTTTCTGGAAAACCTGAAGGCTAGAAAACCAAGTGTTTCATTTTTGGTCAGAAAATTTTACGAACCATATAGCCTCATAGAGCAAAGAATTCTGAGCAAAATAAGATATCTCCCGGCTGTCTATAACGCTTTTCACCGCAACATTTTGATAATTTTTCCACGCTTTGTAGCCATTGGTAAATCGACTACAGTTGGATGAAACAGCATTCTAGAGATTAAAGATTTTTTTTTCCATACATACAGATAGATTTCAGACCTCTATGAATGTGGCAGATAGAACTCTTACTAATACAGTTTTTGACAAAATTACAATTTGTTTCTGCAGATCATTTGGATTTTACAGCTATTTTACTGCGCACATGCACTATATGTATGATCGATTTTTTTCATAAATGACCCATTTTTTCTGGAAGAATTAGGCTCTATTACCCATTATCGAACTAGTTTGTACAGTTTTCGTTGCGCTACAAGAATATGGGTAAGACAATATCTCATTATATTACATTACCGAATCTCGATTTCTCCTCTTACATCAATACCGATCATAAATCTAGAACATGGTAACACCCATATGTTGGTAACCAGAAGGTATTAACCCAATCCCAATACAGATTTAGATCCGCCGCGAGAAGCTCTACAAAACCTGCTATATAGCTTTCTGGTTCGACATACTTTTGAAATCCGACAGGGTCATTTCTAGACAAGATGTTCGTTCATTTTTCGGCCGCTTAAGCGCGCCTCCAGAAATATGAAATCATCGGGTCAGAATCAGACTTTTGTTTTCTTCCCGAGCATGGGCTCAGAATTTTTATAGAATTTCTGATTTGGAGTTATAAGCCGATCTTCGAGACACCCGCAAATTAAGTTTGGACAAAGACAACTGATACTTTTTGCAGCAATTGTCTCTTTTATTGCATATGTTATATTACTTGTTTGTTTGCATAGCAGTAAAGGCAAGACTGTCCTCTACAAAGTGAGATAAAATCCAAGAGTTTTGGATCAATCATTGAGGAATGATCGAGCTCACTCTGCGAGTCTGTTTTCCATAGAAATCGAGAAAATTGCCAAAATTTCACGGTGTCTCCTATAGAGTCCTGTTACCATGACTTATTCGTTCCCATTTACCATACCATTACCATCATTATGAATGTTTATTATTACTATTACCATTACCATTACGGGTAATGGTATCATTGTGGTTGATAATGGTAATGGAATTCCCATGGTAATAGAAGGTATTCCCACAGGTTGAAAGAAAAAAAACATAAACACGTGCATAAGCCGCAAGATAAAGAATATGTAGGGTGGTGGACTAGCCTGAACGTTATATAACTTTGGACTGTATTATATATACTAAAGCGATATACGATACGATTTGTAATAAACTTATAATAAACAGATGGCATGATTATGAACTGGAATACGAAAAGTATCCGTTACCACTACCATTACCATGAATTAAATTTTCGCTACCATTTACCATCTATTACCTGAAATTAAAATCCTTTTTTTACCATTACCATTACCACAGTAATGGCAATAGTAAGGTAATGAAATTTTTTTGTTACCGCACGACTCTAGTCACAAAGCTCAGTGTTGACTAACGGCTTGCAGAAAACTAATGGTCAGGATACCATGTTTTCAAATTTCGGCAGGTTCGGTTAAACAGTCGAAAAATGGACATTTTGTCAAGAAACTTTTGGATCACCCGCTAGGCTGAATACGAGCTTGAATAAATGCATACAAGCGTAAAAGATATATGACAGGCCAGTAAACATTATGCGAAATTCCGAATAGAGACCACAACTTCATAATGAAGGAATATCACACTGCAACTACTGTAGTAGCAGTGAAAAATGAAAGGTTTCGCAACCAACCCATGTAGTCACCAAACACAGATCGACCGCGTTTGAACCTGTCAGATGTTTCCTTTTGAGATGCATTCTGCATCTAGCTTTCAACGTGTTTCTACGCTATAATATATTTACATTGGTAAAACAAACATTGCCGTGATGATCAACGTGGTCGAAAACCTAAGAGTCCATGTGCCTTGTAATTTTACAAGAAAAATCAGATTTCATTACCATCTTTTTTAAAATATCACCTCAAAGTCAAACACCACTGTACGAAACCATAACTTAGGTTTCCTACTTTTGAAATTAAAATCAAACAACCTTCCAAAAAGTGCTAAGACGAGAATCTCGAGAGGTTTTGGGCTCAGTAGAACCTTAACGAGCTTTAACAAATTTGACACAAGGACAAATCTGTCAAGTGCGTAGAAAACAACTTTATGACAGCTAAAAGACAATCAGTCTATCATTATGAAATCATCGGCAAAACATACCCTTGACAGTTAACGCCACAAATCAAAACTCATTACCACTAAATATGAACAAATCTTATTGAAAGATGAAATAGACTACTTGTCGCATTTGGTATCAAAGATTTTTATGCACCTACACCACATATTGAGAACTGTTCAGCAATCGCTTTTTGGTTAGAGAAACTGCCTAATCTTTTGAATGCTGGTTTCACCAGAACAAACAAGAACAGTACATGTAAATTGCATATGAATTTGCCGATGTGTAATTAGACACAAGAAAAGAAAAGTGATAATCGAAAATTTCGAAAAAAAAACAGTGTTTTTGTAGAAAGGAAAAATAGAAATGCAAATATATCTCATATTTATAACAAACTGCGGTGGCATATGAATGCTAGCAACTTGTCAAGTACACGCGACTCATCGTAGGCAAATGAATACAGAAAGCAGAGTTTGTCGACTGCCAGATTCCCGGTATATATACAGATGCGCAAACTCTGCATCCGTCACTCTCGTCTTTTCTTTTTCTTCATCTCCGCGTAGGATGTGTGTGGAATCTATGCGAAGAAAGGAAACAACACGCTGTTTTTTTCTCTCTTTTCTCTTTCAAAAAAACGTCTTTGTTAAGAAAGGAAAAAAATGAAAATGCATCTCATATTTATAACAAATAAGAGTAATGGAGACATTGTATAAGGCCATGGTTTTTTATTCCATGAGGGGTAGGCATACTATCTAGTAACAACATTTTATACGGTATATGATATTGCTCGATCCATCAGTATTTTCGGAGAGAAAGTCGAAATACAGAAAAGTTGATTTTTTGTCGGATGTATTGATCGGGATTATCTTTCTGCAGTGAAGTCAGAAAGTGCTCATATTTTGGATTTATAGGTTTCAAGATATGGCTTTTCATTCTGAATATTTAAATCAAAAATCAAAATTTCATACCTGGCTAAAACCCATAAAAATGGTCCGATTACAGGATAAATATGCACTATGCGCGTCTGAGTATATTCAACTGTCGAGGATTAGTTGGTCCTCCTATCCACATGTTGTCTGTATTCACATTGTGGACAGTTTTGACAGCTGTTTTTAAGTAAAGTCCATCTTTGACGCCATAGACCGCTTCTGCATCTTTTAAAGCGCGCAAGACTTTCACCAGGTCGGTATCTTCGGCCAATTTGGTATTCACTGATCGTTCGACCACATAGTCCCAATTCTGCTTTCCATCCTCAATTTTGTAATCGTAAATCAGTTTTTTATTGACCTAAGGTCGAAGCTGAGAAATGTACAGCATACTGGCGATGTAGAAGAATTGCGAAAGAATATGTTCAACGAGTTGCCGATTATTCAAATGTGGATAAATCATGCGAATAGTATGCATTGATCCAAATGGTGATAGTACGTTG